ACGCTATCTTTTTTTGTATGTCCTTAACTTTTTTTGGCAAAAAGGGGCGTTAGGTTTAGGAAAGAACTTGAATTTACGACATGCTCCCCCGGGAAGATTTTTTTTTAAATATTGAAGTTAAAAGCATCAATCTGGTGCACTTTGAGAGCAACATTAAGAGATCTATGGATACATCTCTCAACACCCATATGAAACAGAACTGTAAGGAGATTTATTTTTCTTTATGGATATTTTACAAATCACTCCCCTTTCAAACTGTATTCTTGTTTAATAATAACAACTTTTTTTTACTGTATATAGTATTTTATACCCGTTTACTTTGTTCTCTTATTTTTTTTATAACTATAATGATCATATAAAGATGTGCCTTTACCTCAATGGTTGTAGAAAAAGCTTCTTATATTCGTTAGCATAGCTAGCTAACCAGATGCTAATAACAACAAAGTTATTGACTGTATGATCAGTGTGACAGATGGACAGATCGCCACTGGGCTCACAACTAAAGACACAGCCACGCAAAAACTGCTGCATGCTCCTTATCTGAAGTGCCGGAGCCGTGCTCTCCGTCAGAACTGCACCCCTGTCAGACGAGACCATGGACGAGACATATACCACGTGATGACACGTTAGGCTCGTGTTGTGTTCAAGGACCCTGATCTTGGCCAGGAAAAAAAGGCTCTCGCTTGTTTAATTCTTTTGCGGTCTAGATTTCTTTTTTGCGTGTATTTATAAATTACCTCGAGGGCCGTATCAAATTGTCTCGCGGGCCGTATACGGCCCGGGGACCGGAGGTTCCCCACCCCTGAAATAGATGAACAGTTTGGCTTTGAGTTAATTTCTATCATCCCCTTAGTGTCAATTGCTTTTCTGATTATTTGTCAAATTGATTGTTGTTCTATTACAACTAAAGAATCGTGAGGAATGCTAATCAACCAATACATTTTCTAACTCGATGTGATTATACACTAATCATTTGTAAGCTGCGCGCAAAATAATTAAAGGTAGAAAGAAACAAGGACACGTGTGTATGTTTGCGTACTTGCAGACAGAAGCATGTTCCTGCAGGTAGCTCCAGAGCGACATTCACTGGCTGTGTTGCCATGCATGACCCCTTAACTCACAAGCAGTAAATTAACTCTGTCATTGGCCAAGCTTTTAAGAACATTCAAAACATGTCAAACACATAAAGACACCGCCCTTGACGTGCCTAGAGTTGTTTTTAATTTGACCTTTTGCTTAATATTGTGTTTTTTTTATGGTAAACCTGTTCAAAACGCAAATGTGAAATCTGTTGATGCGTTCATGACAAAGAAACTTGCTTGCCGCCTTTTTAAGACAGCAATTATGAGACTGTCTCAGAACTGGAGACACGTTCTCTGACATGTGGAGAAAACATGGTAAATTGGGCATACTTAAAAAGCTTCATAGTGAAATGCAGAATGCATGTGAACCATTTGTGTGTCTCATAAACACAAAACCACTTTAAAAAAGATCATAGATGAGTTACATATGATCCCCGTGTTATTCCCAGATTAATATTTCTGGATTATGATCAATGAGTGATAAGTAATCTAAAACCGAATTGTATTCATTGTCCGACATCTATTGTCATCAACCACTTTTTATCTCTTGAGTAAATGAAAATGGTTCCGGCATATCATTTCTGTAGTAGCTATTGAAGTTGAGTAAACATAGAATTACTGGAGCCTCTTTATTAGTTGACTGAATGTCTCTCTAGAGGCCTTTGTATCCTTTTGTATGACAATGCTGGATCATCATTAAAGGCCTCCGCTTGTTATACAACATATGATCACTGTCCCAGATTTATGATGAGGATCAGAACATGGCACGATAACACTGTGTGTGTGTGTGTGTGTGTGTGTGTGTGTGTGTGTGTGTGTGTGTGTGTGTGTGTGTGTGTGTGTGTGTGTGTGTGTGTGTGTGTGTGTGTGTGTGTGTGTGTGTGTGTGTGCGCGCGCGCGCGCACTTACCCTGATGCATTCAGTAAAGCCCTGAATGTCTTTGTTTGTGCTTTTGTTTTGTTTTAACAGTTCATTGTGTAACATATGGTGATTTTATTATTATTAGTAACACAAGTTTTCAGTCAGTGCTTGGAACATGTTGCTGTATTTCCTGTTTAACAAGTTTCATATATGACTTTTATTGCCATACATCATCACCATTAGTTATTCTTAAAGAGTGCTGTTTGTTGTGTAGCAAGCAATACATGTGTACAGTAGATCCTTTCCTGTACAGTCTTCCCGTTGTTTAAATAAGTCTGCAATTTGTATTCTTTTTCTTTTGTTCTTTTCTCACTACCTTGAGACTTGCATACAAAACGTTTGTCGGACTCCAGGGTAGGACAAAGGACAGAATGACCCTGAAAGTCTTCACTGTACTTTCTCCTGATGCAGGACTCAAACATCTGTTTCACTTTTCCCAGAAACAAGGCAGGCCTGACTGGTGGCCCCTCCCCTCTCCCCCCTCTCCCCCGGTAATGGCTTGATCCTTTGATTATAGTGTTGGGAGAAAACTACATGAGTATGTTCCCAAGTTTTCCTTGAGGGCACAGCGTTGGCACGTGAAATGTTCTTTCATGAACACTCGTTCACAAGTGGTGCTTAATAACGACCATCAGAGCACCACATCAGCAAGTGTGTGAGAACATTTTCCACTTCCTGGGGCTATCAATTACTGCTCATTTAGATAATGTCGCATCAGCTAACCCAATCTTCCCATACTTCTCGGTATGACAGTGAAGTATGTGAGTATTGTGATTGATGTTAAATGTAGTTGTTATGCTTCATCGCAATTTGTAAATAGTTAGGAGCTTTTGTAATTGTGTGCTTTGTAAATGAGTGGTGTGCAGATTGGACATATGAGGCTAAACAGCTCTGATTAATGATCTATGGTGGAAAATCAAGGTAACATAAATGACACGGCTGCAGTTTAAAGGCTATAATAAAGTGTATATTCATACAATATTTTGAGTCACATGAATGTTTCTACCTTTGAGGTAATTGTGTCTACATTAATATAGATTAGATTTGTAATCTAAAGATGCTAGAATCCTGGGTTCTGGAAACTTGTCATGGGTTTTTTCCGTCTTTTATAGATTCAAAATGAATTTAAAAAAAAAGAAAGGAGGACAATTAAGAGAATATTGCAATCATTAGATGCAGCCAGTAGTTTTTTTTTTGTCTGCACATTAAACAAAAGTCACATCTTTCGAACATATTGAGCATAATTTCAGTTTTGGCAGATTTGTGAAGTTACTTCCCCTGATTTATTCAGCTGAGTCATTCATGCATCACCATCAGCCCGTCATACACCAGCTGTTTCGCCGTCAGCTAAGTAATGATACTAATCAAAGCTATCGTCATGCCAACATCATTTGAACTGCATCCACTCCTCCTCAGAGTCCTGCCATTTCTTCTAAGTCTGCCGTCTGTTTCAGAGAAGAGGGCAGACATGACGCGTCTGCTTTTGTTTTAGACAAGATGTTTCTTTCATGAAACGTTTGATCCTTTAAAGGTGACCTATCATGCAAAATGCACTTTTGTACGTCTTTGATACATGAATATGTGTCCCCGGTGTTCCAGTGGAACACCGGGGACACATATTCATGTATCAAAGACGTACAAAAGTGCATTTTGCATGATAGGTCACCTTTAAAGGATCAAACGTTTCATGAAAGAAACNCAAATGTATAATTAAAATGGGCCCACTTTGAAATAAATAAAACATATAGCTGCACCCTAAAAAGAGTTAACGGTGGGGTAGGTAAGAATGGAGAAACCAGCTTGAGTGCGCTAGAATTTGAAAATACACAACCGGGAAAAATCTGCCTCTTCCTTCAGACTTCCTTACAGAGCCCCTCCTCCAACACACACGAACACGCATCTTCAATGAGGCCACGAGATAAGTTTGTGCACAGATGGAAGGCTGACAGGCAGGTAGCCAATCCAGTTACTTTAGCCGGGCCGGCTCAGATGATTGGTCATGCTTTTTACAGTACTACGGCTTCCAGAGATTAATTTGTGTATGTATTTTTTGTCAAAGCATTTAATATATTCATTGCTATCGGGACGTTAAGAGCATTCCATGGAATATAACAAAAAGTGTTTTCTGAAATAAATTACATACCCCATTGAATTATGACTGAAGATTGTCAGCTGTCTTCCTCTCCCGTGTTGTTCCTCGATACGTAAAGGCTGCAGCACCTTTGACAACTTCTCTCTACATATCAAACATACCGGTAAACCAGCATCGTTTGCTGTGAAAGCATATAACTCTGTCCGCGCATAATTAAATCCTGTGTTCCTCCGGTACTTTTCTTTGATTTAGCCATAGTTTGCTCATCGAGCCGGGGGTCAGGTTATTCGCCTCCAAGAAAATGCGCTGGCGCGGGACCGTTGAAGGATGTGACGCATATTTTAGTTGACCTAATTAAAACCGTTTTGTTTTTTATTTATGTGTCACAGTATCACCTCAAAATACAAGATACGAAACATTTTCAACCATGCAACAAAATATAAATAGTCCTACAAATACTTTTATTTTATTTCCTTCTTATTTTTGTCTAAGCTCAAGGGAGCCAGAGCAGAGGGCTTAAAGGGCCGCATGCGGCTCGATGGCCGCGGGTTGCCGACCCCTGCCCTAGGGAGATAGACATATGACTGTCATGTTTATTGCTTATGTGGTTCTTAGCTAATCTAAACTAAACATTGAATACTGCTTTGAACCCGTATTCTCCATCGTGTGACTGTGATACACCCTGTCTTGTATATAAAGCATGTCAAGGACACTATTCAGGGATCTATTTGTCCCATGCAGCTGTGTGTGTGATGACTACTTCCATTCTTGCAAGGATAATAAATACATGTATCCTGATGTTGAAGACCAAGCCGGTGACGAGTGATATTTTTCCTAACAGAAAATAATACAAATAAATTGAAAGCTGCTTGACATATTGATAAAGCTACATAAATGCCACTTACTTCAAATGGAGTCTCGAAGGCCTCGATGATGCCTCCGATCATGAGCAGCCCCTCGGTGCTGATCCCCATGCTGCGGTACACCCAGTCCACGCTCTCCAGCAGGGAGCAGTCCACGTACAGCGCCAGCCGCTTGGCAGACACACTGAGCGCCACATGGTGCCACTTTCCATCAGACAGGCCGCTGACTGGGAATCTAACAGAAAGAGACATGGGCCATTATGTACTGACATCTCTATCATACTTTTTATTCTTAGGAAATGTTTTGCACTTTTCTCTGGAGCCACAAAAGCCTTTAAACAACCTGTGTTTCAGTTACAGCAGCACTCCCAACAGACTTTTGACTGATGAAGAACTTCATGGAGTTTCCCTTAAATATACAAAATATTAATCACTGGACCTTAAATGTCAAAACAGACCCACTTATTAAGTTAGTCACTAGTCCGGTGTGCAAACTTAAATGTGTTAAAGTGGACCTATCATGCTATTTTTAGGCAATAGCATAGGTCTCAGATATATACAAATATATAAAAAAACATGTCTATGAAGTGTTTTGCTCAAAATACCAAACAGATCACCCATTCTAGCCTCATATCCCTCTATTTCACTTTCTGTTTCAAAAGTGCTGATGTGGGGTATAAAGCTTTAAAAAAAAAAGATTGATAAAAAGAAAAGGAGGGGGCTGAGCTCTGAGTGTTAGCGATGCTCATGTAAACATGCACCAACAATATTACGTCCAAAACAGTCGGGCATTGTTTCTGATAGCAACGTTTCTGATAGGCCCGTGGGTCCACATTTCAGATATTACGTCATATCGGACGCACATCTGGATCAGCTCCGTTGTTCCCCCGTTTTTAGAGATTTGCGTACGGAGGAAAAGAGAGAGGGTTTTATTTTCTGACGCTGCGTGAGCTCTCTGACACACCGGGGACACATCTTTATGTATAGAATACATCAAAAAGTGCATTTTGCATGATAGGTCCCCTTTAAAAAGGTATCCTACATCAGAAACTTATAAAACTGAAATGTTAAGTCAAGCGTGAAAGCTATTTGTTTAATAAGTATACTGTACTGGTTTGGTCTTGTGACCCGCTAAATGTCAAACCGGTTTGAACATTTTTACACTGGCCAAACTCAACCGACCACCCTCCTAAAAACGTCAAGATGGGTTCTAGACCCAACTGGACATTGTAGGTGGCAGCCACCAACAGACATGCTGCCAAACAACTGCAGAAGGGAAGGTTAAAAAAATACATTAACCATGTGCCAACAGTACAAGATAAGTATAGTATCTATGTGTCTATCTTTTGGCCCAGTTCTGTCCGCTGTCTTGCGGTGATTAATAGCTTCAAACTCTCTGTGTCCCGAAAACAAGAAACCTGCCAAGAGACAGCCAATAAATCACATCACCAAAGAGACAGCCAAACACAAAACACAGACAAGCAAATGCACACATGCTGCAAACAAGGCCACTTCCACAGAATGTCTGCTAATGTGCAGACACATTTGTTTACCCTTCAGCCAAGAAGCAGGAAGAGGAATGAGTTGTCCTCAATTACCTGAGTTTGATGTTGTAATCACATCTGGATCTTTTGCATTATGGGTAATTCATTAGAAGTTCAAAGAATGTACTGTTCTTGTTTGTGTTACTGGAAGAGTTTGAGCAATGTCATGAATAAAACATTTATAAAGCTGTCGATAAATCTGTAACAACATTTGAGCTTGATTTTAATTCGTTTTTGGAAAGGAAAAAAGAAAGAGGAATAGGGATGAGTGGCCTTACTCGTAATGACGCTGTTGTGTTCCTATGAAGATGATGGCGTAGGCGCTGATCCGCAGCTGCAGCATCACTCGGCTGTCGGGGCTGAGCATGGTGAAGACGCTGCGTTCGTCCTGCTGAGGACTCCGCAGCTGCACCAGCAAACTGAACTCTTCTGCAAACCTAACACAGACAAAGACACACACCATTCAGCCATAGACAGTACTGTATTTTCAGGACACTAGGAAGGTGCCATTTTTTTAAATGACCAAAAGCAAAGTAAGCTAACAGTGTTTTCATTTCCATGCAGTAGTAAGTAGAGATGCTGTATGTGATTCTGTTGCTGCTAAAATGTCTGTATATGTTTCATACAAAGTGGCACAGACAGTTACATCACAGCCACAAAAACAACATGCATGTTGTGCTAACGGTGGAAGCTGCGGCTCATCAGTGCAGCCACACACGTCATGTGCAGAGGGTTTTAGGCATGAGAATAAGACATAAAGCGTGCACATTGTAACACCGGCAAGTACAAAACAAGCAGTGGATTTAAAACCTTAAAAACAAAGTTTTTACAGCTAAAAGGGATAGTCACTTATTTCCTTTTCGGAGAAAGTGTAAACATTTTTTCGCGGGGCAGAACATGGCATTTGCTGCATCTCTAGTAAGTAGGAAGCTATACAAGAAGAGTGTATGTATGAGGATAATGTAGTTGAAACATTACCCATCAATGAGGAGGTCTTGAAGAGGGACAGACAAGGTGGAGTACTGTCCCACCTGTAGGACTGGACACCTGCTGTCATCTACAGTCATTGAGGTGTTACTGCTGTTCAACACCTGAGGAGAAAGCTCCTGCAGAATGCTCACCTCATCTGGAGTGAGAGAGGAGGAAACACATGGTAAGCTCAAGAAGCTGTGTCAGATTCAAACACACTCACAGATCATTTTGTGCTACAATATTAGAGCTACTACAGTGTGTTAATGAACTTGAACTACAACATGTCTTTTTACAAGCGTGATTTATGTTTACAATATTGCAAAATGGGTGTAAAATGAAAAAGAAAATGTAGTGAAACAGCAAAGAGATTTAGAGGAATTTCCATTACAGAGGAGAAGGATTAAAGACACAGAACATCATCTTTCCTCTATTAAATTAATAACAGCCTTAGTCATAATCAAGGGTTAATGTAACGTTATTTATTACCCAGCCCTAGGATAGGCGCTATCAAAGAGGAATCTCAAGGCAACCGCATGGAAAGTTATATTACTGTTCTGCAGTAGCGTGCTTCCAGCAAGGTGGCTGCAGTTAAAGGAACAACCTTCTTGTTTCAACAAGACAATGCGTCTGTACACAAAGCCAACTTTATAAAAAAAAACAGACCACTTGCCTCAACAATACTATTTAACATGTCGTTTTATTTTCCATTTTCCCTTTACAGAAATCACGTCAACAGTCCACATGCTTACGGCCATTCTGTGTTTCAAGGTTAGAGAACCCAGAGGGCGGCCATCTGCAGAAACCACACTGAATTGTTCTTCTGCCGGCACTTAGGAAAGCTCTAACACGCTGTGAACAGACCACCGATGGCATTCCTGAAAAGCGGAAAACCACTTACGGGGCCATTGCCTTTAAAAGCTGCAGAGGGCTGCTACAAATTCCATCCTATTTAAAGACTTTTTTTCTTTCCCTTTGGTGCAGCACAGTGCCAAACAATGTTTTAGGGCTCACCCACTGGCTTTTTCTCAAGTCATTAGAAGCAGGAGCCTTTTATTGTAACACCATGCCAACAAGTAGAGTGCCAATCGTCAAGTCCTGCCCACAGGGTTTTCTTTTATTAACTCTGCACTTTAACAACTCCTCCAGAGGAATATGAATGCAGCTTTTTTGATCATATATAGAGAAGTGAGTCACCATTCAAACACTGACATGTTGTATACTGATCACACTTTATCCTGGGAACTGACTGACATCATTGCCAACTTAAATGGCAATGTCATTATGTTAGAGGCCATGTTGAGACTAATTAGGCTAACAGAGAAGGTGCTTTTTACTACCACACAAGAGAGAAAGTCCATTTGACTAAAGGCTGGTCATGTTAGAGTGATGTACATGAGCAGCAGGGTGCCTACAGATTACAATAGCAGCACTTTAGCATGGACCCCTGGGTTTGTAACTACCATGAACAAGTTTCAGGCTGCCTGAGGTCTTTTTCCAAAGGTTGTACAAGATGTATAGGGTAGCTCACGTAAGATTAAACCCTACTTCTCTTATGCACTTTCACAAATGAATCCATGTCTGTCAGACCCATTTGTTCTTTACACTCATCCTGAAAACAGTGCCAGACGAACCACTGGTCTACAAAGAGCGGTCACACTCTGCTGCCCCGAGGAATGGCAGCGAGCGAACGTATCTGGTGTCGCACAAGAAATTCCAACATACCAGCCTTACAGGAATCCTCAGAGATATATGGACGAGGGCCACTTAGACAGAAGAAATCATTTGAATAATGGTTCTCTTTGCCCTTTTAACCTTTAGTCAACAGCCGTGAAGAATGTGAAATCAATGAGGATGCTAATCAGGTAAAGAAGATCTCAGTTTTTTAAGTTAAAAAAGGGGATAAAAAGGCAAAATTAATGACAAACATTCATTAGTCTCAAGCCACAAGCAACGCGGATAATGAAGTGAACATCTGCTTACTTTGCTTAATGTGGATATTTGATAGTGAGGACGACAGTAAGTATGCTAAACAAGGATGCAAATGCTCGTGTGTAAGGAACACTGCACCATGAAGATCAATCCACTATTTATAAAAGGGTCTACTTAGCCTGTGAAAACATCATAAGGGCTATTTTTCATTTGAGGATTGAGGCTTATATGTTGAGTCTTGAGGCATGCTAAAGAAAAAGCCTCAGTTACTTTAAAAACATGTCTCTTCTGAGTCCCCCAATGTTATACAAGTTCAACTTTCAATCTGAACTGGTAATGTAATACAATACATGATTACTACAAGATGGCTGGCCTTACATTTGTCATAACACCAAATGATTCAAACCTGTAATTATTAATGATTGCTTGCATTTTTTTATAAATGTGAAAAATACATATTAATGAGTAAGTTAGAGCTTACTCATACAAACACAGAATAAAGTTACTACAGTGGATAATTAGTTGTTTGATAATGAGAGCAATAGTGATTTCTCAAAGCTATATCAGTCAGTAAAGTGAGATCATTCATTCGGGCAATTAATGTTGGTTTTCCATTAAAGTGGACCTATCATGCTATATTTGAATAATATAGTGTGGGACCATACCTATATAAGGCATATTTATTCTTTTTATTTTTCAAAATACCAAACAGATCATGCATTTTAGCCATTCCTCATTTCGCTCAATTTAACACTGTCTTTGCATGGGCTGATTCTGTGAGAACAGCACCATCTACAGGCCTGGCATATGTACTACAGCGTCTCCAGCGCTTTCCAACGGCAATGTCCGTGGCTGTCTCCTCCTGATTGGTGGATTTGGTCCAATAGCCGTAGCGCCACTTCTGTGACGTCATAGAAGTGTTCAAATCTGTATCAGTCTGTATCAGATCCGTTGCAGCCCCTTTTTAAGAGATTTGGGTTTGCCAAGGCACACA